ATGACCAATGGGTTGCTCTTTCACACTTCCAGTGGAGGAGATAGACTGTGCACCCTGAACAGCGAGGAGATCGGCAGCCTAGTGTTCAGTGAATGCCATAATGCGGAAGGAAGTTTTGGGTGAAGCAAGACGTACGCCAACATGCTTTGTTCGTATACATGGGCAGGGATGAAAGCAGACTGCATTGGGTACCTCCAAAGGTGTAGAGTCGGTCAATGCAACAACAGTACGACCCAAGCACCCTTACGGCCGCTGAAACCGCTCCTATTCCCTCCGAGCCTGGACTAACCATGTCCATAGGCTCAATGACTACAAAAGTCGAGAGTAGAAGAGGAATCCGTAGAGTCATGGTAGTAGTAGATTGGATCAGCGACTCAGATTTTGTTCCGCAAGCACACACATCTTCCCATGCAACCAGCAAGTTACCCAAGAATCAGGTTTTCCCTCAAGAGCTTGATTATGGCCACCATTTGTCCAACAATGATGTTGATTTGCCACAATCCCTCAGCAAGATTTGCTTGGGGGAAAATCTGCCATTTATTCCCTGTTGCAAGGTAACCAAGTTGAACTGACTTGAATGACCAGGCCTTTGGATGACTCAGAGTCTCAGACCACTTGAGAAAGAACCCGCTCCAGAAGAATGGAGTTCCACGCTCTATTTCAGCTTTGGGAAAAGCAACATGAAAGCACAAAGCTCCCCCAGAGGAAAAGATGGGGCAAGCTGCACATCTCTACATCCATTCCCTCAGGTTTCCATACCTCATGGACAGAGGTTACACTCTGAAAGCACTCCCTTCATCCATTCGCACAGGAAATTCCCATTAAGAGAAAAAGAAGCAAGCAGCGGCAATACGATAATTACCATTCTTCTTCCTCAGGGTCTTTCCAAGTTGGCCTTTCCACAAGCTCTAGCCCATGAATCACAATGAACCTCACTCGCCTCTCATCGCCTTTCACAAGCTGAGGGAACTTCGTTCTAGCTTCAGATGCTGATGCCATCTCCTTCCTCTTGAACGTCGTATGTGGCCCTGCATCAAACCAATGAGTCAGATGATTCTCTCTCTCTCTCTCTCTCTCTCTCTCTCTCTCTCTCTCTCTCTCTCTCTCTCTCTCTCTCTCTCTCTCTCTCTCTCTCTCTCTCTCTCTCTCTCTCTCTCTCTCTGTGTGTGTGTGCTGTCTCTTATACACATCTAGATGTGTATAAGAGACAGATATATACCTATGTACATATCAGCCTATCTCCGTATCCATCTAGCTTCCTTCCATTTGCAACCCGATCTCCCTCTTTCACCCACCCTTCCCTACAGCCGTTTCTCCTTCTCTCCCCTTTCACCCCCCTGAAAGATGCCCTCTGTGTGTATGTGTGCACGCGTGTATTATGAATTCATCACCATTTAGTCCCCACTTGTTCTCCATTTCCTTCAGTTTTTTACCTCTCGAAAACAACCTGAAAGTGCTATGTTCCCTATGTTCGTGTGGTTGAAACAAAACGAGTGCAAGGTATGCCACGTTTGTGTGGCTGGGCATGGAGCACCCACAGACCCATCTGACATTATGCCACAATAGCAAAGAAGAGGGAACTGATGATCAGCCTGCACTGATTTAACAAAAAGTCAATCAATGTGGGTCATCGAATGAGATCATCACCCGCAAGCAAACTCCATTCAAAGCCTCCCTACTTTCTTTATCACAGACGGGCCCAGAGAAGAGGACGGGAAGGGAAGAAAATATTAGAGGGGAATTCAGGAAAGGGGGACGAGAAGGAAAAAAGGGCTACTGAACGGGGGAGATTTTTTTTTACTTCGCCGGAACCACATTAACACAAAAGCGGAACTGGGCCGTGTATAGCAGATCAGTAGTGCTTGCATTAATTGCAGAAGAACAATTCAGATGTGACCTATGAAACCGGCGTAAACACGGTTAACATTGGCAAACAATGTTGTGCACTGCAGGCACATGCCCATTACATGCTACGGACAAGTGCTCAGAACAGAGAGAATGAAGTCCACAAGCCAGTTGCAAATAACCCATGTTCTCACACAGCAGCAAACAGCACACCATTTATATAGACTGTGGGGGCTGGCTGATCTCTTCACCATGCGGTTGGTCCTCCTTGCCCTCAGTGCCTAGAGCAGTCACATTCTTCTTTGAGGCCGGTTGCACCCCAGCTTATTCAACACGAGGGCAGACCTGTGCAGATTCTGCAGGAAACTGGTACTCACTGCGGTCCTGATGCATACTCGGATCAGCCCGAGTGATGCAATGTGAGAACATACAAGCACAAAATAAGACGATGTAGCACAGCGGAAGAATCAAATCATCACCTGACTCACGGACTGAGACCCGACCCATCCCATCAGAGGCACACAAATGTGAGAGACGAGGAGGGACCGCAAACATGGAAGACAGGTCCCTCCTTGCACACACGCATGGGGATTACACCACGGATGAAGGGAGGTAGGAGGAGCAAGACGAACATGGAGGTGAGGTAAAAGACCAGAGTCGAAATACCGCTGTCAAAAAATAGTATCCCCATCAAGTGTCCAACCAATGTCTGCCCCTGCAATGTCGAATCGGATCCTGGGCACCATAGCCCGAGATAGCCTCCGCCTCTAACCTCTCTCTCTCTCTCTCTCTCTCTCTCTCTCTCTCTCTCTCTCTCTCTCTCTCTCTCTCTCTCTGTGTGTGTGTGTGTGTGTGTGTGTGTGAAAGGAGAAGAAGAAGGAAAGGTATGGAATGTTGAGCCAGGAAGAAGAAGAAGAAACAGCCCTCCTCTATCACCTGCCTCACCTGCAAGGATGTCAGTGCCATGCACCAACCACCTGAAGTGTCTCTCCCTGTGCTCCAGGTCGCTGGAGAAGGAACCAGCTATGGCACCAGTTAAGTCGTCCACTACCCCTCACAGGTATGGCCACCGACTCCACTCTCCTCCTATCTGCCTCCTACACCTCTACCCCTAACTCTTAACGTAGCGCTCAAATCGCGTGCTGCTCCAGCAGCGTGACGCCCCACACAATGTGGACTACCGAATGCCCAGCGCTGGTCTGGCCCAGCTAGATATAGCACTGGGCCTGGTTGGGTCGCCCATGGTCTGCCGCCAGGACCGTCCAATCTAGCATCCGATCAGCTCCCGCACGCAGGCCCAAGTCCTGGTGCTGTAGTCAGGACAAACTACGGGCTGCCTGGGTCCCTACTGGACATCTGCGCCATCCTGCCGACGCAGCAGGGCCTCTTCGCTGAACCTGGTCCCTCTCAGCCTCACGATGTGGACCAGTGGTCCGAACAGACAGGTATGTTCGGACATGCTGAAAAGTCAGAAACGACACCCCGGGACCAGACAAAAATAGACCAGATGAAAGACTCGGCAAAAATAAATAATGTTACTAATGTACAAATAAACAAATAAATCAATGCTGAATCTAAAAGGAACATGCGTGGAACAAAACGCGTGCCAGGCCTGAAAAATGGCCATGCGCCTCCAGGTCACGCTGAAAAAAGGATTGTGGCCTGAGGGGCCTGGCAACCATTGGGCCCCCAAGCCGGGCCCATGTACAGGCGCCAGCATGCTACAGGTCGTGACCACTCTGCACAGGCAGGCAAGCAGTGTTATCCCAGTTGTCCTAACCAGCACCTTGACCTGTTTCTGATGCAAAAGCTCATCATTATCCTGGCTGTTGAGGTTGTTGGCCTGTAGCCCTGTTTCTGATTGCAAGACAGCGCACAGAGGCACGCCAGCTCAACAACAGGGGCCGATCGGTTAGGGTATCATTGCAGCAAGTTCGAGGAAATCCATGCACTACAGGCATTCCTGGAGGCCATGTGCCACGTACCACATTGTCAACAAGCCAAAAGAAAGACAGAAGGGACCGCAACAAAGACATGGTATGTGATGGCCTTATCGGCGTATTGGCGGTGATCACACTATTCCAAATCACGGCAGTTTTCAAAGCAGAGATCAGCACCAACCACTTCTATGACACAAGCTACAAACAAGTCACACCCTGCAAATCAAGCTTGATCTCGTAACAAGGCATGCAAGCAAACTTCAAATAGATGGCACAAGATCAACTGGGAAATCAGTACCACAACCTAATTGTTCCACAGGGATAATGGGGCCCTCTTTCTTAGCACAACTACACCCCAGGCATGCAACAAAATACATCTGTACACTGAGAAAGTGTGAGCACATATGTTTGTCAACCGCCATTCAAGGTGTGGAAGACAGAGACATCATTCCATGGCAAAAGATACAAAGGGGCCAATAATCAGAGCAGAGTGGTGTCCTGTTTCTCAGCATGTCTCTCTCCCTCACCTGACTTAGGATACTTTTCAATGAGCTTCCTGTACAGCCCTCCAGCCGCTTCCAACGCAAGCCCCAAGGTCTTCCCTTGAAGACCTTCCACCTTTGACATTCTCTCATTGACCTCCTTCACAAGAGTTTCGTACACGTTAGTAATAAATATAAGCGGCAACAAATATTTAGGGTCCCCTTCATAACACACATCCTTTACTTTCCGCTTCTTTGTCTTGTCCTGCTTTGTTGGGGACACCTCCTGAGCCTTCACGACATGTGATGTCAGGAAGTTGTCGATGATTACCCTCAAGAATCTAACCTTTGCCGTCTCCAACGGCAACACATCTGCAGACAAGCCAAACAGCAGTAAAGAACGTCAGAGATTCAAGATCCTCGGAGCTGCAGGAAACAAACAGGCTACCAAGATCATGATGGAAGGCAGGGGGTGTGTTGACAACCCCCAAGGAAACAAACAGGCTACCTTCAGAGCCAGATGCTTTCTTTGCTCGTGTATTGGACCTACTAGGCTACATTCGTGCGAGGAATGAACCTGGCAATCTTTAGGTTCAAGGTTCATGCTTTCCGAGCATGAAAACTGTTGCACTAGCCAGAGGGCGTCTCGCAGTTGGTTTCACGGGCAGGTCCCACACATGCATTTCTGCCAAATCTTGTTCTTTTCTTCGGCATAGCTAGGCATGGGAGAGAAAGAGAGGGAGAAACGATAGAAGCGACTACCAACGAGTCCAAAAGAAACGCACAACATGCACCCCTCAGACAGCTCCTCTCTCTCTCTCTCTCTCTCTCTCTCTCTCTCTCTCTCTCTCTCTCTCTCACACACACACACACACACACACACACACACACACACACA